TGCTGCATAGTATTCTGTGAATGGACGACAATTTCTCAATACATTCAGTTCTGGTTGGATATTTGGGCTGTCTCCATGTTCTTTCAGTGGTGAATAATGCTGCAATGAATATTGGTGTACAAATGTCTCTTTGTGTTTCAGTACTAATTTCCTTGAGGTATAATTCTAGTAATGGAATAGCTGGGTTATATGAAGTTTGTATTTCAGCTTTTTGAGGAAATGCAAAACTGCTTTAACATAGTGGTTGTATCATTTTACAATCCCACCAACAGTGTATAGGAGTTCCCAACTCTCCACATCCTCTCCAACTTAATTATTTGCTGTCCTGCTAAACTTTGTCACTGTTACTGAGGTGAGATGGTATCTCATTGTGATTTTTATTTGCATCTCTCTTATTGCCAGTGATTTTGAGTTGGTCTTCTGAATATCTCACTCTGTGAAAAGTCTTTCCATGTCTTAATATCCACTTTGCAATTGTGTGATCAGTCTTTTTCTTGTGGAGGCCCTGTAGGACTCTGTAAACTTCTGTTATGAGACCACTGTCTGAAATGGTACTATAAATGTTTATTTTGTCCCAGCCAGTAGGTTTTCTTTTCACCCTATTAGAAAACCTTTTTGATGTGCAGAGGGATCTAATATTTAGAAGAAGAAGGACATCATTCTTGCTAGAAGCTCATTGAAAATGAGATGGGCTGACACAGTCACTGCAACAACAGGTTCAAGTGCAGCAGAGATTGTGAGGCTGGTGCACAGCTGGGTTGTTTTGTTTATTATACACTGAGTTGCTGTAGACTAGAGTTCATTCTCCTATACTGAACAGCAACTTTGTGTTAAATCACTGAGCTGGTGTGGTTTGTTTTATAGCAGTCAGTAACTAAGACAACTTAATCACGGTAGAAGTTCAAGGTACAGGAAGTTACTTCTACCTTTTATTGGCATCGGCCTCTATTTTTATCTTCAAGGAGCTCCCAGGTCCTCCAGGACTGTGACCCACAGAAAGCTGGTCAAAGCTGCAGGCACCCTAACTTTGCACTGTTCTGGCCTCTATGGAGGTCTGTTGGATCCCATGTACTTGCTCACAAGAGCCAAAAGTACTTGATTTCAATGTAACGGGCAGACAAACACTGTGAGGACCTAGAAAAGGGACAATCAACTCGGGAAGAAGCAAAATAAAGACAATATGTATTGCAGTTAGCAAATAGGAACTATAACTGTTTAAAAGTGAAAGACGAAATCACCAGGGTAGCAGAGATTAGTGGGGATGGGTTGTTGTTGTTTGTTGTTATGTGCCGTCGAGTCGTTTTCGACTCATAGCGATCCTATGCACAACAGCTCTAA